ATATACATGTGTTAATGTCTGTGTGTAGGTACTCACACTCAGATGCAGGTGTCAGTGGAGGCTGGAGGCAGTGGATTCCGGGGCACTGGAGTTACAGATATTTGTGAGACACCTGATATGGGTTCTGGGGACAGAACTTGGGTCTGCAAGAGCAGTCAGAGCTCCTAACCACTGAGCCATCTCTCCAGCACCCCCCTCCTCCTATTGCTTATGCTTTTTAGAGGATTTTTAGTTGTTGCTTAGCATGGTTTTACACTTACAGAAAAACCAGGAGACAGCACAGAGCTCGCATACATTCCCCAGGCCTTCCACACGGGTGAGGCAACCGGTTCCAGCCAGTGCTGGTGAGTTTCTCATTGTCATGTTTTCCCAGGCTCCTCTGGGCTGTGATGCCCCCCTTGTGGTTGGCTTGGGAGTTTGGAGGAGAGCTTTGTGACTGTCTCCTTAACTATCTAATGCATTCTTGTGCTTAGACCAGGAGTGTGGATTTTTAGGAAGAAGCTACAGGGAAAGCTAGTATTCTTCATGTCAGGAGAACATTCTAGAACCGTGGCAGGATTTATGGCTGTTGCTCTTGACCTTGACCACCTGCCGAGGTCCCATTGACGGTCCCTCCTCTCTGAAGCTGCTCAGTGGAGATGCGTGCCCCACCCCCTCTCCCAGGATGAAGGGGCATTTGCACAAATGGCTTGCAATTCCTCTGCAAGATCTGCCTGGGATCTCCCTCTCCTTCCCACTTGCTCTTATTACTAGGGACTCACATGCTTTTGTGATGGGTTTTTATGTCAGCACTGGTTTGCTTTGTGGCTCAGGCTGCTCTGGCTTTGGTCACTGGGACCCTTGCTGTGTAGTCCCTGTGTTCTGTTGACATGGGCCTGTGAACATGAGTGTAGTAGCTTTCTGTTACTGTAACAACACCCTGAAATAATTGTTTTATAAGACAGAGCACTCATTTTGTCTCTCAGTCCTTGAAGATAGGCCCTGCTGCTCTTGGGCCTTGGTGAAGCAGTACTAATGGGGGCACAGGGCTTAGGATGCTCTTCACCTCAAGGCTGGGACAGAATTTGGCAGGATTCCATCACTGCCTTAAAGAACACCCCCCCCCCAGTGACCTAACTTCCTTCTACTAGGCACCACCCTCTAAAGACATCCAAGGTCCAAGCTGTGACGATGCACTCGTCTGTGTCCATTTGTTCATGACCCTTCTTGATGCTCCAGGCATCCTGTACCTTGTACATTTTGCCTATCGTTTCTCTGAGGATTCTCGGGATTGGGAACCAAATTCTCGGTGCCAGGTGTGTTGGTTACTGCTGGCATGGCATTTCTTTTAGGTCTCCTCAGCCAAGAGAACAAGAAAATGTACACGCATGTACTAAAGGTGTGCATACAGGGCTCTATATGTAACTTTCTGCAGCTGGGCTGAACTAGCCCAGTTAATAGGATGTCTTCACCATTGCTCAGTTACCACATGAATCACCAGCACCTCCTCTTGCTTATCTGTACACCCCCACTAAGACTTGGAGAAGACTGGCTCCTCCTTCCCACCATCCATTTAATTAATTACACATCTCCACTTTGTTTGTGTCAGGCTGTTATCCTAGACCTTCGTGAAAAGCAGCTTCATCAGCTGAAGTGTGGAATACCTAGGTGGCTGAGCAAGCACGGGGCCAATTCACAGTGGGTCTGTGGAGGGTCTAAACGGAACTCCAGCTGTGCCTGAAAGTCCAGTAAAGACCTTGGCCCAAGAAAGGGCTGGAATACAAAGAGCCGCTTAGACACCAGATCTCCTCAGCAGGCACCTCGCATCGGGCATACACACTTCACTTCTTTAAAAAGTGTGGGCTGAGGGTTTGCATTCCCCCCTGATTTTAGAGATGTGACCAGTGGGTGGGAAAGACCATTTGCCAAGCTTATACCTTGGCCCCTCAAGACCAACAGCTTATACGTGTGTCAAGGAGAAAGTGTCCACACAAGCAAGGCATGGTGGCAAACGCCTGTAATCACAACACTTGGGAGGCTGAAGCAGGACCGCCACAAGTTTGAGGCCAGCCTGGGCTACACAGTGAGATTGCATCTTAACCCCCTGTCCCCACCCCCACCCCTTCATGTTCAGTCCCAACAAGAAGAAGAGAAATGCATGCACATTCCCGAACAGACATGTTTCTTTGTGACCCTGATCCTGCATTAAGTGTAGGGTGGGGAAAGGGCCTAGAGGAGCCTGGCAGTGTGTCCTGAGGCATGGGCTGGGTTCTTGCAAGCCTGGAGAGCCAGGCAGGCTTCGTTTAGGCTACTACCTGAACTTATTGGAGGAGTCTTGGGCTGTGCATGGTGGGTCCCTGAAAGGATGTTTTGAATAAATGTGATATCAATTTATTGTGTTTTCCCTGTAGACTCTGCTTGAGTTGTTTCTGAAGAAAAGGTGTTCTCATAAATACTCATATTTCTCTCCAAAAGCTGCGTACTCTTTAGGGTGCACTTAAATCCTGGAGATATTGGACTTTCGTGTGAATGAGAAGGGAAAGAAATTCATACCAGACCTTGAGCTCCTTTCAAAAATGTTGCTATGGCAACGACATACATAACAGAATCTCCTACGTGGGCATGAGAGTAATAAGAAGCAAGAAATGTGGCCTCCACAGTGCATTCATTCTTTCACTGACTCATCCATTCCTCCACTCGTTCATTCATTCACCGGCCCGAGGTGCTTAGCTCTGTGTCAGGTGTGCAGTGATGTGGAAGGAGCAGGATTCTTGTCCATGGATCCCCAGTCCGTTCGGGAGAGGGAACAAGGCCAGCAGCTAGACAGTACAGCATAGCCTACTGGTAAAGGTAAGGACGCTGTGACCTCAGAGACGAGCTTTGCTGGTTTTGAAGCAGGAGGGAGGATTCTGGGTACAGGGTATGGCCAGGCCAGATGAATAGTCCTCTGCAGGAAGCTGTAGGATGGGCACGAGTCTCTGTGGCAGAGGACCTGTGCTGACTCAGGGACTGACTGCAGGGGAGGGGCTCCCCGATGGCCTGTGCTCCCCAGCAAGCCCTCACACCTGGGATGTCCTGTGCATCTCATAGACCTGAGCTGTGGCTCTGGAAGGGGGAGCCTGGGTGCAGCCATCTTTTCCTCCACCTTGCACATTCTCAGTGTGAGCCGGGAAGCAATTTTCCGTGAACCTTCTCTATAATTAGAAGATGAAACTACTCTCATCACCTGGTTGATGCACATTTATAGAGTCTTATGTTAAGAATAACATCTTTTTTAAAAAAGCAGTTGCCCTAGATTTCAGGTTAAATGCTGTCAGGCATTTTCAGCATATGCTTTATAAGACCTTTAGGCTGAGCTATGGTGCATAATTTGCAGTTAAAAAATGAATGCCTAAAGCATGCCTGGTGGGGTTATTAATGTTGATTATTAATGTGACAGGATGAAGAGTCATCTAGGAGACACCCCTCTGGCATGCATGTGAGGAATTATCTAGGTTAGGTTAATCAAGGTGAGAAGAACCACCTTAACCGTGGGCAGCCCCGTTCAGTGGGTTGGAGTCTTGAACTAAATACAAGGAGAAAGTAAGCTGTCTTGGTTATTTTTCTGTTGTTGTGATAAGAGACTATGGCCTTGGCAACTGATAAAGAAGGTGTTTAATTTGGGTTTACAGCTTAAGGGGCCTAGCCATGATGTGTGAGCAAAGGCATGGTAGCAGGAACAGTGGAGAGCTCACATTTTGATCTGCAAGTAGGAGAGAGACAGACAAACAGACAGAGACAGACTGGGAATGGTGAGTCTTTTGAAACCTCCAAGCTGCCCCCAGTGACACACCTCCTCTGACAAGGCCACACCTCCTAATCCTTCCCAAATAGTTCTACTGACTGGGAACCCAAGCATTCAAAGCTGTGAGCCTATGGGGTCCAGTCTCATTCAAACCATCATGGGAACAGAGCGCCAGCTTTCATCTTTCTGCTTCGTAACTACAGATGCAGTGTGACCCAGACTCGGGCTCCTGTGCTGTACCTGTTGGCTATTCATGCAGGCTCATGTGGACTCCCTTTGTAAACTTGGCATACGTTGTAAACTTTGTATATTTTGCAAGAAAGGGCCCAGGCCCCTGCCTGAAGAGCTCCAGCATCCAGGCTGGGCTGCTTCAAGTTTTGACTCTGTGCTCCCCCTACATCTTTCCCTGGGTGCCCTCTCCTCAGCTCCCCTGGGTGCTATCCCCTGTAGTCCCTGAAAGGGGTACTCTGATCTCTAGGCTGTGCTGCTGGCCTCTCTACACTTCTGGACAGCAACACCTCAGGACTCCAGAGCTGCTGAGGCTAAATCTCCACAGCCCAGGGACCTGAAATCAGATGCCTGGAGAAACTGAGAAGCTGAAGCCACAGAGGAAACAGCAGCATCTGCTGCCTCAGTTACGGCTGCTGCTGACAGGGAACTCAGGGAGAAGGAGGTGTGTCCAGCTGAAACTTGTCTGTGAGCTCCACGGCCACCTCAGTGGCAACAATGTATAAACTAGCAGTTCCCCTGGAGCAGGATGCTTCACATGGTCTGGCATTGCCGCCAGCCAGGGACCAGAACCGGGAATCTGACCCCTTAGCTGTAGTTTAGTTAAGGAAAGTTGTTTTGTTTAGCTTAGAGTTCAAGTCTGTTTGAACCCCTTGAGGCATGAGTTAATAGGCCTCTCCACACCTCTCTGGCTGTTATAATGGCATTTCCAGCCTCTGTCACAACAGCCATATCCAGACCCTCAGTGGGACCTCTCCTAGATTTATGCTAATTTTAGGTGAAAAGTCTGAACAAAATCCCACCAATCCCTAAACTCTCCCAAGCTCAGGAGTTAAAATCCCACCAGTCTTCCCTCTGGAAGTCTCTGCCCTAGAAAGCTCTGCCTCCTAAAAGATCTCATCTAAAGGCTGTGTTTTCGAAGTTCTCTGCTGTTTTCTCCTGAGAATAGAGGCAGCTACTCCAGGATTCCCCCCTCCTCCCCTAGGTTTGTTCATCTCTTTTAAGAGCTGTGGCCGCCTCAGCAGCACATATACTAAAGTTGGAATGATACAAAGATTAGCATGGCCCCTGCGCAATGATGACACACAAGTTTGTGAAGCATTCCGTAAGAGAGAGAGCAAGAAAGTGAGAAAGATTTGCTGTTTGGTGTGACTCTCCCATCAAAAGAAGCCAAGAAGCACAGAAAAGAAGTGAAGAAGGAGAAGGCTGGGGCTTCTGAGCTCTTCAGTTTAGCTGAGGTTGGGGAAACCTCTCTTGGGAGCTGCAGCACCTCTGCTGAGGAGGCTTCCTCTCAGAGCTGTGTGGTTCCTGGGCTCCCGTGTCGCAGGATGCCCTTCTGTTGGGACACCTTCCCAGTCTTCAGAGTTGTGGGTTTCCTGGACGCCTTCCTATCTAAGTAGAAAGGTAGACAATGCCTTCTGTGATCCCAAATGAGCCTTTTCCCTCTTATGCTGCATTTCTCAGGCCTTCTGTCGCAGCAACTAAAAGAGTAACTAATGAGGCCGGTGTTACCTGTGGGTGGGAAGGATGCTGGTATTCCAGAGCTTCAGAAGCTGGCTGACCTGTTCCTCAGACGTGGCATTGTGGAATCACTTCTGTAGGGAAGTCTTCACTTCCTCCAGACTCTAAAAATGTTTTATTTAATACCGGAAGCCCCTTTATTTGTTAATGGCCCTTATCACACATGGAATTAAGGAGTCCAGGTCATTTTTCCAGAGTGACAAGCTATTGGCCTGCTGAAGATTCTGTACAGTGGGTCCCCTCACTCTGTGTCTGGGGCCGGGCCCGCCCAATTTCCAAGAGTGGCATGGGGCCAGTGTGGGCCGCTTTTCTGGGTTCATGCTGGTCTGAAGAGGAGGCGCACTGTGTCCTGCTATCTGCTCTCCGGTTCATTTCTCACCATTCTCCACTCAGTCTCCGCTGGACTCACATCAGCAGAGCAGGGTGTACAGAACGCATTGCTCCTTCCCCGAGCATGTGCTCTTCTGTAGAGGAGCCTGTCCTCGTGGTCCCATGCCTTCCTTTTGCTGGACTGTGCTCAGGCCTTACCTCTGATCACTCACGGGGCAGCTGAAAGCCCCCACCCTGAGCTCCCATAGCCACACGTCAGACCCTGTGAGTACAGGGTCCCTCACTGTGGGACACAGGCTTAAGCTCTTTGGGGCTTTCACTATGGCACCCCATTCCAGCAAAATTCAGGCGGAAAACACAAGCCATCCCTCTTAGGTCTCACATGGACACCCCCTGGACAGGTGTTCTGAAAATGCCAAAGTGATTCCCTGTGCGGTAGGACTGGGAGATGCTGAGCCTGGAAAAGCCAGCCAGGGGCTGCTGAACTGGCGCACTGAGGCCTGAGCAGGATCCTGGAGCTGGAGGAACCCTGGGCTCCAGCACCCAATGGCCCTAGTGGGACACCCCACATTCAGTGTGCTCCAGACTCAGCTCAGCCTGTCTCTGAAGGTCTCCAGCCAATGCCCACGGTGTCTGGAGTCATCTCCTGAAATGCAAGCCTGGCCATGGCCTCCACTTTCCCACAGCTTCGATATTTCCCTCTCACCAGCATCCTCCATGAGCAAGACATCCAATGAGTAGCTGCTGAAGAAAACCTTGGACCCCACCCTCCATCCCTCTCTCCTCTCCTCTGCCACTGAGCGACACCTGAGGACATTTAGGTTGAGCTGGCAGTGTCTTGTGTCTCCATCAGGCTGCGAACACAGGAAGCTGGTGATGATGATTCGCTCATGGCCATGTCTGACCAGCCCGGTGGACTATTGGGCATGTTAAAAAAGTCCATAGTCACTTCCAAATTATCCCAAAATCCAACATAGCACGTGCTGTATCTCTCCTCTGCCCACCTAGTGCTGCGTCTCCAGCTGGCTGAGGGGCATCCTTTCATCCATCTGGCTGAGCTGCTCACAGCCTCCATTTAGTAATGTCAGGCCGGCTCTTTAAATCTGGCCATGTCGCCATTTACACCACAGAAAGTGACCGATGGCACCCTCCCACCCCCAAACGACATGCGAACACACCTCTGCTTACACATGTAGGGATGGCGTCTCCATCCTCCACCGCCGTGGCCCAGCACAGCGTAGGAGCTCCGGATCTGGGCAGAGTTTATAGATATGAAAATGGGATAAAGACATGGTGAGCTCGCTGAACCCCAGGGTGAGGCCAAAGTGGGCATCATCTGAGTCACTGATACTAAGTGAGGAATTGTGCTGGTTCCCAGAGAAAAAGTTACCTGACCTAAGTAAGATCCATCTGCCAAGGCAGAGGGCCGATGGCCTTGAAAATGATGGAGGCCAGCTGTGCCCACAGCTACATTTCTGGGAGCATCTGTCTGCACAGGCGGGCATCCTCTGAGACAAGAGGACCAAAATGACAGGGAACACCAAGTTCAGCCAGGAGCATGCCTTTGACTCTGCTCAGAAATCGAAGAAAGCCAGAAATGGCTGCTAACAAGAGTGAGGGCTGGGCGAGGCCTCCACCCTTCGCTCGTTCTAAGTCCGTCAAAGGGTGAGGGCTACCAACACTTTGCCTCCTGTTCACAGGAAGGCAGAGGGGAAAACACGGCTTTGATTTTGGTTTGTTTTTTTGTATTGTAGTTTATGTGTACGGGTGTTTTGCTTGCATGTGTGTTTGTGAACAGTGTGTGTGCCCCCCCCTGCAGAGGACAGAGACGGTGTCAGATCTGCTGGAGCTGGAGGCGCACAGTTGTGAGCCGTGATGTGAGCGCTGAGTGGAACCCAGCTCGTCTGAGAACAGCCAGTGAGCTTGACCGCTGTGACGTCTCTCCAGACACCCAGAACATGCTTTAGCTTATTCAAGCTTTTGGGTTTTCCCCCCCATTTTTTTTTTTTTTTTGTTTTGTTTCTTTTTCTCTATTTTCTTCTGTGGGTTGAAATAGGGCCTTGTGGATTCTGGGCTTATGCTCTCCCATTAACTTATACCCCATTCTTTTTTTGTTCTTGAGTGCTAGGTATTGTAAAGAAAAAAAAAAAAGCCAGCTAAAAATGTAGGAAGCTTAAATATGAGCTTGGAAATCCTGGCATCACACACTGATAACAGCTGTCACCTTGACCCAGTGTTGTTCTCTGCTAAGGCCTTAAAATCCCTCTCCAAGGTGCTGAACTGTTCTGTCCGTAGGGGTTGTGTGGGGGAGGGAACTGTCCCTTGGTGAGTCCCAGTACTCGCTTCCTCTCTGATGAGCAGGAGTCTGGACTTCTTCCCTGGCACCCATGGGTGCTGGCTCCACTGCCCTTCACCTTTCCCCGACACCGCACTTTCCCTCTCTCCAGGGAGACCAGCTGCGCAGGTTAGTACCTCTGGCCCTGACCCGATTGTTTCCGGCTTCCTCTGGTTCCTTTCTGTCTCCTGCCAATTTCCTTCCATGGCTTTTGACCAAGTCGGCTGGAGTTAAAACAATCCACATTGTTTAAGAATGCAACACGTCCACACAAGGATTAACACCAAAATAGAATCTGGGAATCCCCAGGTCAGCGGGCCGAGGGAAGGCATCTTGGGGAAAGTGGTGTCAACTGAGTACTGGAAGGTGCACAATTTGGAGGGGCACCTATGGGTGTTTATGGATGCGGAGTGGTCAGCTCATGTGGTTTGCTCTGCTCTGAAGCTTCCAGCACAATATCAGACAAACCACTTCTCCTACCCATCTGTCTGGTTCAGTGCTTGTATGTTACCTTCCGGGCTCTGGGGTGCAGAGGATCAAACCTTGGTTATTCTTGGCACCTATTCCTGCTCAAAGGTGGCACTCTTTCAAGACCCCAGTCTTAAGTAATGCTTCTTATTTGCTAAGGGACCAGATGAGTATTTCTTTGGGACCTTCTTTGCACAGTTTAGGATGGGCTTAGAGATGTCTCAAAGCACAGTAGCTTGCTCCCACTGTTCCAGGAAGGCCTGACTTATTCCTATCAACAAAGTCCTGCATTCCCACTGGCAGGCTGGTCTGATCTTTTGCCTTCTACTAAGAAATGTGGGTGAGCAGTTGAAGTGGATCTCTGCTAGCAGTGAGCAACTGAAGAGAGCCCTGCGCTAGCCTTGGGGCAGGAAGAGCAAGCATGCTGGCCTGGCCAGGCTTGTCAACAGATCTGCTCTTCAACAGAGCTGTGTCTAAGCTTCTGGGGAGGGGTGCTAGAACTGGTCACAATGACACATCAGTGTCAGTGTCAATGATCTTCTGGATCATTCTCCTGGCAAGTGTGTCACGCTACAATGTTGTCTGCCTTTGGGCATGTCAGACCTTCTGCTAGTGTTTCAGTACAGACCCTGGTAGAGCCCAGACTGTGCCATGTGGAATACCCAGGCGCATTAGGGAATGCCTGTCTAGGCTTACACAGTGGAGAAGAGTGCTGGATAGAGCCTGTGCGATCTCTAGGCCCCTGACTCAAGGAGCAACCACCCAAGCCAGTTACTGGCTGTTAGGAAGCTTGCGATAGGGAGTGTCACAACCACTTCTGGGGTACATGTCACAAGGCCCAGAGGTGGAGTGTCTGCAGTCTGGCAGGGGCCTTCTGCATCATGTCTGGCACCAGGGGCGTCAGAGAGATGCTAGTCATTTGCCTAAGCTGAGAGGAGGCTGTGGCTGTGACAGGGCTCCCTCCACGGTGTTCCTACTGAGCCTTGTAATCTGGAGCATCTTTACTGGGATGCAGGACTGGCACAGACAGTCTTACTGAGTCGATCAGTCTTTACCCCAGGAGTCCCCTCTGGCTGGGGGCACGGAGTCTGCAGACACTGCCCTCTGAGTGGAAGGTCCTCAAGTTTCTCTTCCACAAGGTTTGAGCTCAGGACTGAGTCTGGACTAGATAATGTTGATGGTTTGGACTATCTGCATGGTCCCCAGGGTCCTTCAGGACTCTGCTGAGGAGAGCAGATGCATAAGCACTGTTGGAAGAAGTGGGCATCAGCTTCTCACACTTCAAAGGGATCATTCTCATGCTGCCATGCTGCTGGGAGAGAGAGCACGTCACCAGCTCTGTCTCCATTCAGCCGGGGATCCTGGTAAAGTCCGAGTTACAGATCTGCTTTGTTCTAGGGATTCTGTGGTAGCAAATCTGCCCCGCAAAACTAAAAGCACCAGGCACTCTGGCTGTCTGTGTAAAGGTGTTTATTGTTTGCAAGATAAGAACAACCTGAAGGCGTCTCAACAAGGGAATTATTCAAGTCAGTCACAGCACGTCTACACTGAGGAGCATTTCAGTCCTCTAAAAGGACATGTTAGCTAGTTAGACACTGGTCCTGAGAGACTGATGGATGCCATTAAGTGGGAAGGCAAGCTGCGGAGGAACAAACACCACACATGATTGTAATATTTTTAAAGGTTGCAACTAAGCAAAATAGGAACTCTTGTCTTTACATTTAAACACAGATCTCGTCCTAAGGCAGAGGAGGGGCTGGAGAAACAAGAAAACAAAAGTCATTCCAAAAATGGACAGAAGGCACCACGTGAAGTTAAGCAAAGCTCTAAGGTATCCAGCGCCCTGTAGCAGGGTTGCAAATCTATACACCTGCATTTGGGATTTCTGCATATGGGCAGTCAGGAGAAGTGGAAACAGCACTGAGCTAATTGTGTGCTGGAGATGCAGCTGCTTTTCACTCTGCTGCCAGTTTGCTGGGCAGTTCTACAGCCTAGGTGTCTGAACTTGGGAACGCTTGGAAAGGATACGAAAGCAATGGCTGGGGGAAATGTGTTTGTTGTCAAGCCACAACTTTTAGAATAACTTAGAAGTGCCTCACAGGGCCCTTTTCTTAATGGGCACCTGTTAAACTCCTGGCCGAGCCAAAGCCAGACTCAAATGCCCTCCTTCTGATCTGTAAGAGCAAGATCATCTCAGATAAAAATTAAGTAAGTAAACAGTCAAATCACCACATGGACATTCGTCTGCTGTCACAGTTAGGTTCACTGGGTGTGATGACCAATGATACAGGGGGACACAGTAATAATCATGGAGCATGGACTACGTTCAGCCTAAGCATTTTCACACCAGGATGAAGTTGCTAACAGCTTTGTTTTCGCTGGTAACTAAGCCTTGAGCTGGGAGCCGGAACACCAACATCACCATGCAAGAACCGTTCTTTCTTTATCGCCTTATATTTGAACTGGCATGCAAGGAATGCACTGTGTTCTGGGCTTCTCCCCTGCTCTCTGGTGTAGGATGAGGAGACAGCAGATTGCGGAGGCGTGTCCTGCTGGCGGCAGGCTGACTTCTCTGCGCTGTCTGTCCAGGGGTGAGAGTTCCAGTGGAAGGCTGTGTGTCCTTGGGCTGTCCTGCCTCATGTCCCTTTACCATGTGAAGCCTCCCAGAGGTGTCCTTGGGAAGAAGCGATAGCAGTGGGAACCCGGCCCATGAGGCACATGGGGTACGGTTTATCAGCACTCATGTTCTGAAATGTTGTGGATAAACCCTGTGACATCCCCGAGCCCCCTGGCAGATGCTCCTTTCAAAAGAGAATGCGCCCAGCAGCAGTTATCTCCAGATACGGCTCAGCAGCTCCTGGTGACCCTGAAAGGGGAGGAGAGCCTGTGGAAGAACCTTAAAAGATTAGATTTGCTTTTAAAAAATTAAGTAATATCCATATTTATACATATATTTAAATTCAAGTGCTATATCAGTTCTTGTGATGGCAGACAATGATTCTTTATTGCGTCTCTCCAAAGATGTCATTTCCCTTAGGCTTTTTGGCCAGTAATTATATTTTTGTAGTATTAAATAATTCACAGAGGTTATTGAAGTGGTTTTAAAAAAAACCAATAGTGATTGTGGAGAACTCTGTCGAAAGGAAGCATATTAGAGATGCTCAGAGGATACCTAAAAACACACAGGGCCAGGGGACATCAGAAGTCAACACACATCTGGGCTTGATGGCTTGTCTGTAATCTCAGCATTCAGGAGGCGGAGGCCAGAAGATCATGAGTTTGAGGCCAACCTGGGCTACATATGGAAAGTCCCATCTAGAAAAACAAAACAAAGAAATAAGAAACAAAGATGAAAACGTGTCACCTACAAGGGTTTTCTTAACTCTGCAGGTGTTTGCAGGGACTGGAACAGCAAACAGCAGACTTTGTGAAGCAGAATCTAGATCCCACACCCTGCCCTGACATTGCTCTCTGAGAGGCAAGTGTCAAATTTCCCTACAGTCTGGTTTCTGAGCCTTTGTCTAGTGTCATGTCTGCTTTAACTTTTGCTATATTTTAGTCTCATGGTATCAAGGCACACAGTTGTTGTTCAGGGCTTGTCAGGGTTTGACTCCACATTTCCTCTGCACATAGGATGCACTTGGACCTGTGTGAGACCTGAACTGATCTACACAGAGCAGAACACCTGAGGGGAGACAGAACCCGGGCTCTGCTGCTTCCTAACTGTCCTGGAGAGGGACTCAAGAAGTGTGAACCTCAGTGTCCTGCCTCTCCCCAAGAACTGGGAAGTCAGCTAGAGTGCACAGCAGAGTTCTTGTGTTCTTTAATTGGTTTACCATTTAGTTTAGCCACAAAGGCAGGAACAAGGCAGGTCCCACAAGGGTGGCCATGGGGGGCACTGAAACACCTTATCAAACACATGGGGTGAAGGGAGTACTTGGGAGGGACTTTTGAAGCGCCATGAATTACGTGCTGCTTTCAGGACACTCGGGGCTAGAGAGGGAGAGTTGGGCTACCTCTGTCCACCTCTGCCCACCAGCTCACCTCGTTGCGGCTTATTTCACAAAGAACCAGATGAAGCCCAGGAGGCAGACCATCGCTGGCTGATCCACGGCGACCCGCAGGGCCGCGCCCCTTTCCAGCCAGAACTCGCAGCGCTTGGTGGAGCAGATCTCTTTGATTAGCCGCCACAGGACTCGCTGGTGGAGCTTGCTCTCCAGCTTCTCCAGGGAGAACTCAGCCTGGTTGGCCGCCTGGGTGGCGTTGATGCAGCTGGCCACTAGCATCTCCTTGGTCACGTTGGCATCAGAGCAGCCTTCATAGTAGATCCCATCCGGGAACTGCCAGTAGTTGGCCTCGTAGTACCTGTTGCCCTCCGCTCCGAGGTCGATGTTCAGCTTCCGGCCTTGCTTGATGAAGGTTCCTGGGCGGTTCTCGGCCACCCGGGCCTCAGTGATCTGGCCGCTGCTAGGGAGGGCCTTCCGGTTCCACTTGAACCTGTGCTTTATGCCCCTCCCCTTGGCCATGGAGAGGTGGCTAGCAAGCAGCATGCAGAGGACGGCCAACCCCCACGTGACCAGACGGCTCTTCATGGTGCGAGAATCTACAAGGGAAAGGCTGAGCTGTCACCTTCTCCCCAGGGACAGATTTTAAACGATCCTCAGAGCATGATGATGACCCACACAGAGGCTGCCCAAGGCCAACCCAATACGGGCCTTCTTTGTTCTGGCCAGGGATTACTCCGCTTGGTCTGACCTCGGCTGTCTGGGGTGGATGAGAAGCTGCACCCTGCGATTATAAAGCTGCTGACTGTGCACAGGCAAACAGAGGCACAGTGGAGACAGTCCATTGTGTTTCCCAGTCAATGAGTTCTGGGAGTAAGAGCTGGAATCAAAGGGCCTGATCTAGGCTGCATCTTCAGTCTTCCTTGCTTTCTATTGCCCTGAGCTGGCACTGTTCCCGACACATGTCTACTCTGTGAAACTGGCTGCTGATTCTAAAGAGGCCAGTGAGAGGAGGAGGCCACGCTGGAGGGGAAAAGGAGGGTGGACATGCAGCCAGCAGTCCCAGCCTCCAGCCTCACCCTCATGTTCCCAGTCTCACCCAGGGGACAGTGTGCCCTCCGCTCATCCTAATAGCTTTTAATCACACGCTTATTAAATGTCAGCTACTACATCAAGCCCTTCTGTGGTTTGGTCTAATTCTCACAAGGGGAAAGTCCTTTCGTCCTATTTTTATAAGGGCTGTTCTGCGGTTCAGAGACGCCGAGCAATTTGCCCAAAGCTGCACTGCGGTGAGTGGCCAGCTCCAAGTCTGTGTCGATTCCGAGGACACACACCACTAACTGTGTCCTACTGCTTGGGAACTCAGGGCCAGGCGCTGCTAATGGTTTGTGTTTCTGGGGGCAGTGATGGCTCCTAAAGCAACAGAAACCAGGGCTGTTGAGGGACTTCACGAGACATCAGAGCCGTGGTTCTCAACCTGTGGGTTGCAGCTCTTTCCTGGGGTGGCATATCAGATATTCTGCACATCAGAGATTTAATTACAATTCATAACAGTAGCAGAATCACAGTTATGGAGTAGCAATGACATACTGTTAGGGGGGGTCACCACAACATGAACTGCGGTAAAGGGCCACAGCAGTAGGAATGTGCGCTGCTGCTTTAGAGGAGAGGGATGCTGGGAGTTCAGCATAGCAGCGCAGGCGTATAGATGACGCAGCGAGGGGCTTCGAGCAAGCCCTGGGAGACTGTCAAGGTCACCGCCCCTGGGTGTCCGAAGAGCTGCTGACCTCGGGCGATCTCCCCACTCCCCATCGTCACCAGTTCTAGCTCCTGGAGCTATGGTGGCCACTGTGGACATCTACCCTGACGGCCAGCATCAGAGAGCTCTAGCGCCAGGGCCTTTGTCTGTGTTCGCCAGGACACAGATCCCAACAGGGCTGTCACCTACATGAAGGCTCACTATGGGTCCCTGGAGTGCCGGAGCCGGCAATGCCTCCACGACTCACTGCGGCACCCCAGGCAGGCCCCATGTTCCTGCTAGACTGTTTGCCTCTGGGTGACACTGGTACTCATCTAAAAACAGAAGAAGACCCACGCCCACCCCAGCCTAAGAGCACACCCTGTCACCTGTGAAGGATGCAAGGGGCCTCACTGCCCCATCCTTCTGGGGACTGCCTGTCTCAGCCATAGGGTGGCTAAAGCATCAAGTCTCCCCCACCAATCACAGTGAACTCAAACCACACTTTTCCCAAAGAAGTCCATATATATATATGCACAACTTCCTTGAGACAGGCCTTAGTTTTCACAGACAAGAGCTTAAAAGCAGAAATGAAATTCCAGCCTGTTAGCCTTGAAGTGGCATTTCCCAGTACACTGGAGTATAGGAATGCAGAGGCAGCTGGGAATGAGGTGCTCATAGTCCCTGCCTGGGACCGGACACAGCAGGAAGGAAAGTCACAAGCCACCGCTGGGTCTGGGAAACCCCCGCCACATACCTTGTAGTCTGCTTCTGTGGCCTCTGGAGCCTGGAGCCAGCACTTCTCAGGAACACCTTCCCCAGGCCACCACTCGGCTATATAGCCGCGGGGGAGGGGGCCTCACTACCTCCCTCCAAATAGGGCAGCCCTTCCCTCCTGGGCAGGACCAATCAAGGGCTCCCGGGTCACTCCTCCACCCTAGAAGGTCGGAGCTTCTCCTTATTCTTCACTGGTGAAACCACATGAAGACCTTGAAGTTAAGAAAGACCTGAGAATAATATTCAGAACTACAGCTTGGGTAGCGTTCAGTGCCCAAAGCCAAGGGGGCTTAAGGAAGCCTTGATGGACTCATCTGTTGTTCTGTCCGTTAAGGCCAGCCTCCAGCTGCAAAGGAGCCTCCATTAAGAAATTAAGAAGGACTGGCATTCACCTGGACCCCCAGGCCCAGTAGTTGGAACCCACAAAGGTGGAAGAGTCGCTCAGTTTCTCCTGGGTAGGTGGGAAAGCAGGGCTAATGAGTGAGTGGAGAGACATACTTGTGGGGTTCCCAGAAGTTTGGGCTGTTTGGGGTCCCTAGGGGTACATGAGGGTCAAGGTTAAGCGTGTAAGAGTCGGGGAAGTAGAGCCAGAATGAGCAGAAACCAATTACTCTCAGACGATGGCCTGCCCCCCTGCAGAGGCTCTGGTGCAGTGGGGAGGAGAGCCAGAACCTTGCCGCCACCCCATGGCTGCAGGCTCGTCGCTGCGGGTGCCTGTCCCAAGGCCTTAACCACAGGGGCATTCTGGAGTGCTCCTGTTAGGATCATTACTAGAAAGGAAAAGGAAAAGTGAGTCCTGGAGGCAAGGTCTAGGTAAGACTGCCTGTAAACGTAATGCAGCCTTTGTCTTCAATACGATCCACGGCGAACTAAATTAAGCGGCCTTTCCCGGAATGGTCAGTAGATGGCGCGAGAAGACTTTAGAAAGATTTTCAACCTCGCGCTCAAACTAGCCGCCCCAGCAGAGCTGCTGGGATGGAGGACTTCTTCTGGCTGCGCCCCCGCCTCACCGCCGCCTTTTTCTCTTTCTGTTTGTTTGACTTTAAAAGTTGATTCACTTCCTAGTTTAAAAAGTTTACATTTCTTTGTAGACTTACAGACTCTCTGTGCATGTGAACACACATGACATAAACACTGGCATTGTGGTCCTTGTGTGGATTACTGGCAAAATGCAGAGAAGCAAAACAAAACAAAACTTCTAATATTTTACCACCCAAAGACAATTATCCGTGGAATTTTGTTGGTTATGTACATGCTTAAGGACATAAGTAGGGTTTGCTCTTCCAGTCTAGAATCTCTGCACTAGTAGGGGTCACAAGCTCAGACAGGCCCAAGGCCACTTAGCCTGACCACAGTGCATTCTGGGGCCTCACCCCTCCATACTGCACCTCTGTACTGCCTCTGCTGCTGCCCACCTCCCTAGGTTTTCTAGTCCTTTTCTGAGTAGGAGAGGCATCGTCAAATCTGAAGAGACTGCAGATTCCCCTGATAATGAACAAAAGGCACTAAAAAAACGGAGGACAGACCATTTGGAGAAGAAGGGGGAATTCTGGAAGCTGCCAATAAGACAGGAAAAGTGTGAACCAGATGTGGGGTCTGCACAGCTGGCTCTGCCTCACACATGGCTCTCAGCTCTGCCTCACACATGGCCTCCAGCCCTATGGCCTCCAGCCCTAAAGGCCAGGGAAACAAGGGAGGAAGAGGGAGGCATCTTTCTAGGAGAGAGAGACCAGAGCTGATGGCATTATCTCCACACTCTGACAGTGACGAGAAAGCTGGCAGGGTGTAACGGACCAGCCCTGGGATGTGCGTTCCGGGCCTCCTAGGGGTTTGGCACATATATTATGAATGTACAAATATCAGAAATTTAAGTGTGTTGAAAGAAGTGACAGGGTAAAGGGGGAACTCCAGCAGGCACACATGGGCCTTTATTTGATAAATTCTTCAATTTTATTAGCTCTTGGATTTGTTAGGAACACTTAAAATTATACACCATTACCATCAAGACGCATTCTCCAATGTGAAATAAACTCTGCCTCAAATGGTTTCTGTGCGAGAAGATCGCATTTGTGCCAAGGAGGAGAACAGAATGGGTTACACAAGCTTTGTCACTATCGCAGCCAGGAAGGAAGGAGGAGAAAAGGAAGGAGGGAAGAAGGTAGGAAAGAAAGAAAAGAAGAAGGTAGGAAAGAAAGAAAAGAAGTAAGAAAGGAGGAAGAAAGAAAGGAAGGAAAGGAAGAAAGGAAGGAAGAAAGGAAAAAATAAAGGAAATGTTCTTGCCTTCAAGATGAGGTGGGACTTTAAAAAATCATGAAGGAAGACTTTCACGAGTGAAACTAGTGCCCTTGAAGCAGAGGCCGAGGAAATTGCTGACTGTTCCTACCATAAGGAGACACACAAAAGCTGGCTGCCTCAGAAGGAGGGAGCAGGCACTAACCTGGCACCTCCATCTGGAACGTCTGTGTTGTGGTTAATTTTGCTTGTCACATTGATTGGATAGAGAAACGCTGAAGGGATTGGCGAAGTCACCTTGCTGGGTGTCTGTGAGAGTAGTTCCCAGGCTGGTCAGATGGGCTCTGACCCACTCACATCATAGTGGAAGGAGGAATGATACAAGGTGGAGCCTGGTTGGACCAGGAGTGAAGAACTTCACCTCGTCCTGGCCTCTTCCTACCTGGCCCTCTTCTCCCTTCCTGTCTGCAGCGAGGTGAAGACTTCTGTGTCTGAGAACAGAGCTGTGGTATAGTAAGTTCCTCCAAGCAGAAGCTTTCCTTCCCAGTAAGAGAGAGAGAGCACTGGGGCCACCAGCTCTGAGGGTGCCGGGAACTCCAGAGATGCAGCCTCTCCTGCTTCTGGATGGCTTCATGGTGCTGCGGCTTCCTTTCAGCCAGTCGTGCTCGCTCCTCACCCAGATCCCTGTAAGCAGCCTCTGGGATGCTGAGCTAGACTCCAGAGGGGTTGTTTCTTCATCTATCATCATCAGTCCTTGAGATGAGTGCGAAGATGTGTAACCAGGGCTGGGCCCTCAGGACGGCATCCTTGGGGAAGGCCAAGGATACAGAGTGTGATACAG